ACACACACACACACCAACGCACGCACGCACGCACGCACGCACACACACACACACACATACATACATACATAACAAACATCCTGCTAACTACAGCATAGTTTTCTTGTTGCTTCCAGATTTAAAATGTTGTTTGAATAAAACAGTCCTTTGCTGCATAGTTTGTTTGAAACCTTGAATAAAGCAGTAGGAAAACTTTGTACCGAATCTTGATTTTGCTGAGGTATCAACTACTCACTCATTTATTCAGAACTTATCATCCCCATAATGATAAAAAAGCATAAATATGGTTTTTGCATCGTGATAAAAAAAAGACGTGAATGTCTTTCTGTCTTTTTTTTTTTTGTTTTTTTTTTGTTTTTATGTTTTTTTTTTTTTTTTTTTACAAAGAGTAACTTTCAGAACGTTTGATAAATGTTCAGTTGTATTTCTGGATGGCATAGAAGTCGTAATATCTTTTCGGTATCTTTGGAAAAGAATTTACAAAAAAAACACACACACACACACGCGCACGCAATAGTATGATAAATTGGTTTTGTTCCAGTAAAAAGACAACGTTAAGAAAAAAAAACATCACCCATATCCTTCAAATTACCACACAGCATTCAAAACATTTTACGCAAGACATTCATTAGCTCTCACTGAACGTTTCAGTAAATAAAAACGTCAGTTATAAAGGTGAAGTCAGATGGAAGCAATGGAGCTAGGATATCATAACCATAGAATTTTTTTTTCTTCAAAAATTAAATACGGCGTAGCACCCGAATACCTGGCTTCCCCAATACCAGATCCCGCAGATACTCGCTACAAGTTGAGAAACTTAAATGACACAATCGCAATCAGCAAGAACTTCATTGTATTTTAATTCTTTCCCGCGACTTGAACAATCTCAACATACGATAGTTGCCAACACTTTCAATGTTTAAAATTGATTAACAACTTAACTAGCAAACTACCCCCAAGGTCCCAAACTACTTCTTTTACGCAAATAGAAACATTCAAATATTACTCGTAAGTTTAAGCTTCTTAAATATCACCTTTTTTTAAATAAAAATATTTTTGCATATCAGACGTCTCTGTGAGTTTTACCCATGCCGGAAATTTCATCTGGCATGGGCGTGCCAGATGAGTCGCGTGCTGTTCAATGATGACGTGCTGCTCAGGATAACATGACGTCATTTTACCGTTATGAATGAAGTTGTAATTCATACGCTGTTGTAAGAAAGTAGTTACGGTCGTAATTATATAAATTTCCATTGAAATTAAAGATAAAGAATTTAAAATATAATGGAATATGGTAGAATATGCAAAAAAAAATATCTGACATTTGTTTGCGGTTCGGATCGGAATGTCCGTCCCTCGGTCACCCGCCCATGGGCAGTAACTCGGCAAGCCTCGTTACCGCCTAAAGGGCGGGTCACCCCGAGAGAAACCACAAAATATTATTAATCTCCTATAACGTTATGTAAATGCTAGCAAATGGAAACTAATTTCCACTTTTTTCTGAATGTCCAAATTTTAACTCAAAAAGACATAGAAACACTATTTAAAAGTCTTAACAATTATTTCAACATAACTCTAAATACTGTTATCAAAACATTACTTTGTCACCAAGTACGTTGTAAAATAATGTATTCGTTTCGGTAGAATTAATAAATAAGTCAATAGGCCTAAAATGCTGACAAGTAATTAGTAACATGAGGAATGGATTATATCTGTCACCTTGTCTTTTTACTGGAGCATAACCCATAAACTGTGAACTATTGAGAAAAGAAAGAAAGACACGTTTGATATGAGCTTATCAAACAATATTTTTGAGGAAATTTTAAATTTCAAGACGAGTAAACAAAAGATATATTATCAGCTTGTTTTTGTATAAAAAAGCTTTCATGTTTATAAGCAATTATCAGCAAATTAATTGCCTTGGCCATTTACAAAGAAAACACATGTAGTATGACAAAGACATACAATAAAAAATATAGTAATAGCAATACAAAATATCACTTTAGACACGTACCACCCCATCTGAGCAAAATCAGTATTCGGGACAAAATAATTCTTAGAGTGCGAATCAGGTTATCGCCGCTATGTAAAAAGGTTTATCGGGAATAAGAGCATTTTATAATAAGTTAAAACAAGCACAATGGAATGCGAGCTAATTTTCATGTAAAAAGGAAAAGCATGAGCAAAGCTGCAATTTGTCTTTGACCCTAGGCTATATACATTAATCGGGGAATTGCGTTTTACTTTAGTGAAATATTTTATAATAGTTTCAAAAAATACCAAGAATTCATCTTAATTACCACAATCATTAATAACCACCATAAAAACAACACTTACAAAGAAACCTATATAATTAAAGTCCATTTGTTTTACTTAGGGAGCAAAATTTAATAAAATATAAGGCTATTAAAATATCCCAAAAGTCAGGAAATCATACATTCATCATATATAGTGACATTATTATAAATAATATATAACAACATGACAAACACGGAAAAATTAGTATTTCTAATTAAAAATCACCAGAACAAAATAATAAAATTTCTTGTTAAAGCATATGTGTTAAGGAGAAATTTTCTGTATAATAGGTAATTGACTTTTAACGAGCCAATAGTGACAACATGATGATATATTGACTGTCCATCTTCTGAAATATGATACTGTAATTTACAGGTCGAGCAGCAACTTTGATCTCATTTAAATGTTCCATTTTTAAAGTTATGTATATTTGTATATATAGAATATGGTGACTTATAGGTCCAATGGCCGGGTGTTTTTGTATGTATTCTTATCATGTATGTGAAATGATAAATGCGCAATGTCACTGTGATGAACAATTTACTTACTTATATATCGTTTTTATCATAGAGGAAAGTGTCTCCTAATTATATCAGAGAAATCGCTTTGTTTCGGATATGTAAATATGGACATGCTTAAAAATAGTATATGTATCTAGATATCTGGGTTACCAAAGAGAAATTAAAGTAATTACGTAAAAAGTCCTCGGGGTAATTTTATAATTGCATTCTTAACGTTTTATGGGGCCGTAACGTTTGAGGAAACGTTCGTAGTCATCCATGGCTCCTGGGATAGCGCCAGAAGAACGTTGTGTGAACGCCAGCGACAAACTCCTCACAGTGATTACCTCCCTTGGCAGAATTGTAATCACTGCCTTCACAGATGTTACATGATGATGAAATGTAATGTTATCAAAAATGGCAGGGCATATAAAGTTAAAAGTCTGTTGGACTGCTGTGGTTTTTCATATGTTTGGAAACAACCCATCTTGTTATCATGTTAACTTAGCCAATTGTATGGAAGGCATTTACTTTACTTTGATTTTGTGTTCGATATTGATTTATGTGTAAACATCTTATTCATCCTCCACAAACTACATATGTTGACAATGTAAATTGTGTTCACTTTTTGTTAAATCACATGATAAAGTAATGATATACATGTATATGCATATGCAAATGTATGACAAAAAAATGTACTGTTTACGTCAATATAATTATTTGTCTATCTATCATGTAAATCTTTTCTTAAAATTACCGCTCATCATTCAAAACAATTAACACAAGACTTTCATTAGTGTTAACGGAACGTTAAAGTAAATAACATCGTCATTAAAAGTACTCTTTAACAACAAAGGTGTGCCGCCATTTCAGTTTTTTAGCAATTATAATTGAAATAACCGCATGGATATCGGGTTTTCAATACTTTAGTATTAACAATTACACCTAACGCGATTATAAAGTGGTGTAATTGATATACTTCGTAAATAGTGCAAGATTCCAAGTAATTAATATAATAATTAATTTAATTATTTCTGTGATGTTTAAAATTCGGCAGCTGGACAAAGACTGACTGTCTACAGCTTTGAGCTTGAGTAGTTATAATTAATAATCGTTTTTTTAAGTTAAGGAAATCAAGCATCCAAAAGATATCGATATCGGGTCGAAATATACAATTTAACTAATCGGTATTTTAGGTATGAAACCACTAAATATCATTATAGAATCAAGGCAGAAGAGAACAATCGTCACACAAGGTGTATTTTTTATCGATACTACTTGTTTCTTTTTATTATTAACATTCTAAATATAAGATTTAATACATTGCACACATATATTAGTTTAACATGAAAATGAATTCGTTTTAATAATTAAACACGAGACTTAATTTCGCAAACAAAAATAAGTTTTTGAGATCATAAACAACTTTTAAAATTAATTAATGCCAAAACCAAGAAAAACAGTATTAAACAAAACGTCCAGATACATACATTAAAACGGTTACGATATGTATAATAACATTTCGGGATAAAAATTTGTACACGTTTTATTAAACAAAACTAAGAATAAAGTTGTCGACTCATCTTTTGACAAAACTTTACATTTAATGTCAAAACAGAGACAAAGTTCAAAAGACAAAGATAAACGGTCATATAATTAAAAACATAATTTGATGTCAGATCGGCACAATTGTCTGAAAATGTTCATTCATGTCCCGGCTTCATGGTGCAATTAATATATTTATAATATGCATTTATTTTGCATTTGTTTATAATAAAAATGAAAATGAAACTATAATGTAAACAAAGTTTTAACATTCAAGTTCATTTAGATAATTTGATATTATGATTAATGATTGATCATTTTAACGTACATGTAAGAATAAAATAAAAAAGAAATTATTTTGTAATACGCAAATAACAATAACAAACGATTAACATTCAACTGAACAAAAACAATATCAAACACGAATGATCATTTATGTTCATGGCAAAAAAAGGTGAAATAATGTGGTCATAAAACATAAAAATGCAACTCAGGTAAACATCTTTTTTGATAATATTTAAAACGATTTATATGCTTTCAACATATGAAAAATACATTTCAATTTACAGTTTACTATCTTTTGTTTTTTCGGAGACCTTGGGAAAATGTTTTTTAAAAAAACAACATCATTTGTTTCGCCCAAACTGACATCAACATGCTTAGCAGCCCTATATAAGAGGCACTGCGTTAATACTTCATACATATCAAGACTCATCTTCCAGAGGATAAATTTATTTTACTATACGAAGAAATAATGGTGACGAGTGTTGTCTTGGCGATAGTTGTGACGGTGTTTGTATCAACAACTTACGGTATTTAATGTTTTGTATATTTTTTGGAAATATTTTAAAATATACTTAAAATCTTATGTTTTGTTCTGGCATTTTGAACAAAAATCAGAAAGAACATATTTATTGGTATTAAATGAATACTTGTGTGAAGTTTCATCTAAAAAACAACAGTTGATAAAGCTTTTGCATAAGTATTGGAAAAAAAAGAGAAAAAGTAAGTGTACAACTATGTTTTGAGTGTACAAAAATTTAATCGATGCTTTAGTAATTAAAATATTTGGTAAGTTAAGTTTTAAGTGTTTCATTCTAACTGCCAATAATATATACATTTTTATACCAGACATTTTATGTCCTATGTTAACTTACTCAATTACGTTTCTTTATTCAAGACTTTACTATATTATTATTATTTTGCTTCTAAATTGCCTGCCACATTAATCGATTGGTTTCTTAAAGATAACCTGATGTTCAATAAAAGTGTGTTAAGAAAAACAGAAAAAGTATAATGATTTTAAAGCTATTAAATATTTAGTGCACTGTACGGTTTAAAGATTCATAGTCATAATGAAATATAAAAATAGTAAGATATAAAAATTATGATGACGAAAATAGTTACAGAAAATCTAAATTATAGCAATGTTTTCAGCATAAAGTATAAAATATTTTCGAACTATTTATACATTTTGTTGGTCTTTTTTTTTATAGATTTTCTCTTACCTTGAGTTTGAGACAATCCATTTAAAATATAAGTGAATTGAATTTTTAAAAAATTAAAAAAGAGTTGAAGTACAGTCTGTCCTGGTGACAAAGGAACATCATTGTTAGTCCGAGTAGGTAATATGATAAATTGTGACACTTAACAATGATATGAATATCTAAATTTGTTTATTTCACTTGCAGCTTCTGGTCCTAACTATATAGGATGTTTCCAAGACAATTCAACAAGGATCTTAGAAGGTACAATGACGTCTGGCGGTATGACAGTTGAGAAATGCTTGCAAAGATGCAGCATGGAGCGAACATTATTTGCAGGTGTTGAGGTAAATAAACAAAAACTTCTTACGTATTTTTCGTTCAAAAAATACTATTGAATTAAACAATCAATAAAAATGATAAAATGATAAGGGAATTTTTTGTTATTGCTTATTTTGATAAAAGCTTGCTTTAGGAGATAATTATAACCCGTCATCGCAAAAATAATGTATTTTTCATCCAGTGCAAATAATATTTTTGAGATGACAAATTATTTTTCGGGTATGTTCTGTATAATTTTAAACATACCATTATTTTCTAATAAAAATGTTAAAAATTCAAAATAATGTAGCAATAAAACTTAGTTTTATAACTTAATAGTTTTATTTTTGACTACTATAAAAATCTTCTTTGTTTATATAACCAGAACGTTTTTATATTCACAATTAAAATATGAATATAATTGGGTTTTTAAATACACAGAATTTTAAATGTTTTCTTGCTGAAATCTGGTTTCATGTTAAGTTCGTGTTCTGTCGTTGTTGTTGTTTTAATGTTTATGTCCGTATAAATTATTTTTATTCCTTTTTTTTCATATCTATTTTTTTTTTTCACTTTTTTTTGAGTATTTTGAAAAGGTGCTTTTGTTTTTATTATTTATTTGTTACCGCTGTTTTCCTATTTTAAAGGATTTTAGTTAATAATTATAATAATTTAATGGTTCCTTTTTAATATTTTATGATGTGCTTCATCCTTAAAATGATACTGACATGACATGGTCAATGAAAGCCTAAATAAAGTTGTATTTCTTTCTTTTCAGAACAGTAACCAATGCTTTTGTGGTTCACAATTAAGACCATACGCAAAACGTCCTGAAACAGAATGTGATCATAAATGTAATGGAAATGTCGCCCAGAATTGCGGTGGTTTTTGGAAAATATCATTGTATGAGACACATAGTGAGTAAATAGATAATATTCGTTTGTTTTTACGATAAATAAACGGTAAAATCATAAATACTTTGAATGAAAGAAATAAACTTTCAAAGATTAAAGCTCAACATAATGATGAATACTAGTAAAAACATGTGGTGTCAAAAAAAAAACCAGCCCAGAATAAATTTATACAATTCACGATATTACTTAAGATTAATTTACAGTTTCTAACTAGTACAACACAATCTTTAAATTGTGTGTTGGGGGGTGAAATATAAGTATAATTGTAATGGATTTTCATTTGCCTAACAGGATATCTTGGATGTTATGTTGACTCCAATACAAGAATTCTTAATGAACAATCTACCAATAACAACCAGATGACGACGGCTTCATGTATTGCTTTCTGCAAAGGTCACGGACTCAAATATGCTTTAACTCAGGTAAGTGTCCTAAATTAGAATATACATAATTAAATTGTTTTAATTGTTGTTGTTATTTATTGGGTAGGGCGGTTGTTTTTGTTGTTTTTTGTGTTTTTTTGTGGTTTTGTGTTTTTATTTATTTTATTTTTTTATTTTTTTTTGTTGATTTAAACATGTCGTTTTTTGTTGTTGTTTACAGTATTCTAATCAGTGTTATTGTGGAAACAGCTTAACAACGGAACAGAAGGTAGCCGACAGCGAATGTAGCTATGATTGTAAAGGTGCTACAAGTGAGAAATGTGGAGGGTTTTGGAGAGGGTCATTATACCTTGTTGTTTAGGTTTAAAATGCATTAAGGTAAGAATTTTAATTGAGAGATGTTTTTTTTACTTTCATAACACATTGCTTACCTCCTTTCGTATCGATGGAATTGTACTTTATTTTTAATAGTATATTTATGTTGCAAGTTAAAACAAGGTGCAATGTTACTTATATTTGTAACTGGTAATCTAAATATCCTACAGCAACTGTTACTTTGGCTCTGCTTGGGTAAATGTTGAGAAAGATTTTGAAATTTAACAAATATGAAACTTGAAAACATTGAATAATGATTTTATCTCATATAGATGTATGGTATATGCACTGTACATGTAGAATATATTTTGTTCTCATTTCAGTCTACCCGTTCTAAGAAAGAAAACAAATGCCTTGGAATACAAGAAGGCGACTGAATTCATAGTATAAGATTTAATAATCTAATATATAATAATATTATAATGATTTGTAAATGAATAAATATATATCAAATTGAATTTGTATTTCTAATATATTATTCCATCATCTAATGGCACAGTCCGATGAAGCATAGTCTTTAATTATACAAGAAAATAAAAAATAAAGAATTTCTAACAGTTAATGTGTTTCGAGTTCCTCACACTTTCATAATTTCAATAAACATTACCATAAAAATATGGAAACAAAGTGACCCCTCGGGAGAATTAATCACAACAGAATTATATGAAGATTGCAGGCTTGGTTTGATCAAGGATAATGAATAAATTCAACATCCCTCACGCACCTAAAACCGGCTTGAGTGGTACTCAGTTCTCAACGTTTCATAGTTCTGTCATCAATGATCCCGAATGACCAGAAAATATATTAAAACAACACTGAAGTAAAGTACGGGGCAACATTTTAAGGCTTACAAACGGCACTTGACAGCTGTTGTTGTCAGGTGACTTCCTGTCATTCGAAATGGATCATAAAATCAATGTTTGATTTTTTCGCCAAAAAGTTCGTTTTTTTAAAACCAATTTAATATTTGTATGAAATTTACAAGTGCAATTTCATAGTTACAGAAAATTTAACGGCATGGGTGTGTCCAAAATTGAATTGTCGCTATAAACATGCATTTTAGTACTTACATCCCTTTATATCCTACAGGTTTCTTTCCTAACAGTTTTCAATGACAAAAAAAGTAAAGGCTTTACCAATGCTACATTTAATTTATTTTTATTTTTTTTTAATTTGGTTATATCACGTTCGTTTAATACATGAGTCAGCTATTTGCAAAACTTTGACTATGCTCATCTTTGCGTAAAATACTTTTATTGAAGAAATTTATTGAAATCTAGTTCATTCCTTTGAAAGTGACTACTTTGAATAAGTGAATGTATAACAATGTTTGGGAAGCTGCATTCCCTATTACTTGTCAAATTAATTTGTTTTGTTCTGTTTTTTCTAATAAAAACTGCCAGTCTTTTAAATGATACTAAGTAATCATACTGTGGTCACATATAGTGTGTAGAGTTTAAAACGTAATATATTTTCTCTATGTGTTTTCAAAAGATTTTATTTTACATTTACACTGAATTGTAATTATCAGTTTTTTTGTTGTTGTTTTTTTTTTTCAAATACCAAAGTTGAGCATAATATAGCTTTAAATAATGCCTTGTGAGGATCACAACATTAAAATGTTCTTTAAACGTCTCTCATTCTGTCTGTTGCTTTAAGTCTGATATTTTCATTGTTTATAACGATTTCCAAATCAATAATTATTACAATTACCATAAACGATAGCTTAAATTATATCCTTCTAAAATATATGCCGAACTTAAAAAAAAGCATTGTATTAGAAATGTTCGTAAGTTTACAGTTTCATTAATACGTTTTTAATACGCACCCCTTAAGTCCAAGAGCATTGTTCTAAGACCAATGAATCCGTGGTATTCCCATGAACTACATGATACTAAACATTTAAGGCATCAAGTAGAGCGGAAGTGGCACTGGAATTGAAATTGATCACTTAATTTATAGAAACCAATGCGCTATTACGAATAAGCTTCTAAATATGTCTAAAGTCAAATACTACACTGAGAAAGTAGAGTCATGTGGTCGTGATATGAAAAACCTTACCAAAGTGACCCGGCATTTGATGGGTGCAAACACAGATGTTGTTATGCTGCCATCTGGTAGCCTGCAAACGTTCAAGCACAGGACTTTAGTGACTTCTTTGTGTATAAGTTTGAAGGCATATGCAATGGTAAAGCCAGGACCAAGTCTCACTAACAAACAGACAATGTTGTCCCTGAAGCACCTTTCAATGGAGAGCAATTTTCAAACTTTTCAGTAGTCTCTGATATGGAAATTTCAAAAATTATTCGCAATTCGCCAAACAAATCCTTTGAACTTGACCCCATTCCAATATGGCTGATGAAGATTTTTTAAATGAACTATTACAATTTATCACAAAAATCATAAACACTTCACTTGAGAGACCATATGTACCACCCGCTTTTAAAAATTCTAGAGTCAGACCTTTAATAAAAAAGTCAGGGTTGGATCAAGAGGTTATGAAAATCTACCGGCCTGTATCTAATTTACCGTTTGTCTCCAAAATTCTCGAGAAAGTTGTCGATTTCCCTACTTGAAAGACACCTATCTGCACATAAACTTCATGAAAAGCGTCAGTCTGCTTATAGACAGTTTCATTCAACAGAATCTGCTCTATTATGTGTACAAAATGACATTCTCCGTTCTCTTGATCAGAATGAAGCTACTGTTCTAGTAATGTTGGACTAATCTGCTGCTTTTGATACGATCGACCCTAGTACCCTCCATTGCCGGTTCGAACAACACTTCGGAATAGTAGGCAAACCTTTACAATGGATGAAATAATATCTGTGTGAGCGTCATCAAACTGTCTGCGTCAATGGTGAACTGTCAAAACCTGTACGTATATGACATTTTCTGTGTCACAAGGGTCCGTTCTTGGTCAGAAGAATTACATCATGTACACCAAACCTGTGGGCGCGATCTGTCAGGAGCATAAACTTCAACACCATTTCTACGCTGACGATTCGCAATTGTACATGGCATTTAAACCAAAGGAAGCCAGTTCACGCAATGAGACCTTGCGACGGATTGAAGCATGCCTGAATGACATCATAGTATGGATGAATAATAACTTTCTGAAACTGAATACAGACAAAACAGAGGTGGTCGTCTATGTTCCAAAACGAAGTGATGTTGAAGCTCTTACTGTAAGAGTCGGTGATTCTGTAATAAAACCATCAACAACAGTGAGAAACCTTGGCATTTTTTCTTGACCTTTGGACTCTTATTTAGACATGGAATAACATGTGAACTTCATACGTAATGAAAATAAGACAAATAGGTCAAATTCGGAAATACTTGACTGTTGATTCAACCAGAACCTTGATAAACTCGTTAGTGACATCAAAATTAGATTACTGTAATTCGTTGCTATATGGATCTCCAAAGTACGTTCTCAACAAGCTCCAAAATGTTCAAAAATACGACTGCTCGTGTTATTACCAGGAAACCGCGTAACTGCCTCATAACCCGTGTATTAAAGGAACTACATTGGCTTCCTGTGCACATCAGAGTCAAGTACAAACTCCTTACATATGTGTTTAAGGGGCTTCATGGACTTGCACCTACGTACATACGAAACATGCTAGACATTTATACCCCATCCAGACAACTTAGGTCCCAGTAGGACTGTGACTTATGGTGATCGTGCTTTAAACTCTGGAATGCCCTACCTAGAACACTTAAAAGTTATGATACTCTAATAGTGTTTAATAGAGCACTTAAAACTCACTTATTTAAGAGGTTTTATTTGGACTGATTATTCTTTATATTCTTGCTTGAATTTTATTATTTATGTGGGTCTTTTTTAACTTTTTTAAACTACATTTGATTTGAATTTGTGACTTGAGCAATATTGATGTTTTATTTTTTATTTTAAATATTGTATCATTTATTTGGTTATACTGTACAGTACTTTTGAACGTGTCAATGTGCATGAAAAAAGTGCTTAAGAAGTTTAATAATAATAATAACACATATGTAATAATAATGACAATAATAATAATAACAATAATATTTTTTTCAACTGGTATTAAAAATCTTGCCAATGAAGTTTCAATCTTTCTTTTCTCTTTCTTTCTTTTTTCTTCCTATTGTATTATTTGTTTTCCTTTCTTCTTTTTTCGTTATCATAATTTCTAATTCTTATCCCGATGATTACTTATAAATATAACGTTTACTCGTCACAAATATTTACATTCCACTTTTTTGATAATTGTACAAAATATTATAAAATCGACTCATTATAAAGTTACACTAAAAGGAGAAGAATTTTATAAGACTTAGTCTTTCGTTCTCATCCTTTTTCTTTGAATATATTATATATTTGTATTCTGATTGTATTGTATTATGTATATCATGTAAATATTCGGGAAATAAATATGCTTAAACTAAAAGGGTTATATACATTAGGAATCTGATTGCAAAACTGACTTATTTTCTCTTGTTTGTAATCTATTATTACAATCACATTTCTTCTGTATAACTATATCTGACACATTTAACATAACAAGCACTCTGCTGACAAACTACAACTTAGTTTTCTTGTTGCCTAGATACGCAGTGCTGTTTGACTAAAACAGACATTTACTGCATGGCTTTGACACCTTGAGTCATGCAGTCTGTGAATTGTGATCAGGTTGTGTAAGGTTGTGATATTTGGCTCTGTGTAATTTTCCTTTTTTGCTGATATTTTGAATTTTGGAGTAGTACATTTGATAAATACGTTTTTGTCATTACTTTACCTATGGAATGATATCGTTGTTTTTGGAATTTGATCAGTATTAAAAGAGTTATTTTCTGTTAAACTTTGCTAAATTATCGTAAACAAGGTAGATTTGATCGCCATTTTCGATTACTTTCCAGTTGAATAAACACAAAACAAGTGCACACAATTAGACAAATAGACAATAAAATAGCTGGCGGGTATCATACCAATAACTGATAACTGTTAATCGTTTGTGTTTTCATTTTTTGGTTCAATATCTAGAACACCTACGTCTGTGCGAGCTTGATTGTCCCCCTTGTACTTATACTCGTACTTATATATACTTATATATATCATTTACTCTGCACTATTTTTTATATGTTTTTTTTTTATTTACTCATTTATAACCAGACACCCTTGTGATCAGAATAATATGTAGTGTAGTGCTATGTTAAAGAAACAATGCATTATTGGTGATAATTAAACTCGCACTATAATAATAACAAGAGATATATTAAATACATGTGTGCATAATAGGTAACAGAGCCAAATACACCCAACTGACTGAATAAATATTTATTTTTGCCTTAGTTTGTTTATTATTGCGTGCTCTGCACAGATTTTTTTCAGGTAAAATGGAATTTGATAATAATACACCTAGAACAACGTTGGGGGTCGAAACCAGGCAGCAAAAAGACTACGTTCAGCTCT